AACTTCCAATAAAGTTTTGTCAACACAATAGCACATGCTTGAACACATATGGTTCCTATTCATGCATATGCTCTGAAGGTTATTTAGGAAACAGATGTGAGCGATGTCAAGTATGAAAATAAATTCACTAAAATGTTTTTGTTTAACCACAAACGTGTTCTAAAGAGGTTGTTGTTTCTTACATTGAATTACATTAAGTTTGATAAGAAAAAATCCAGTTATAGAAATTTTTGGTAATGCTTTGGCATTGATTCAACAAAACCTTAGTACATGTAAATGCTAAATAGACTACAAGTATGCCAAATGTTGCACTAAAGTGTTAATTTATCTTTAGAATTAGATACATTTAAATGAGTACAAATGTACATGCTGTTTAATATTATTCATGGTTTATGCTATATCATTTATGACATCATTGTATTTGGTGACTTGAAAGGATACCTTAATTCATTGCTGATAACAATTTCTGCACATACATTTCTGCAATTTATAATTTTATACTAGTATGTAACCAGATAAACTTTTATTTTGGTATTAAATTAGGCTACGAGATTGTCAATAACTATTATGAGTATAGAAACGATTTAAACAGCGTAACAAAAGCGTGTGTACATCTATTTCATGTATAAAGACATTAGTAATTTATGAACTTGAATTTCAAAATATACCAAATTGCAATGGAGAATTTGTCATTTCAGTCGTATGTACATTTTATAAACGAGCCATGTTTCTGAAAAAAGCCAATCGATTCTATTTTAGTTAGTTTGTTATTTTTTATATGACTTGTTTTCAATACTTTTCAGTCATGTGGGCCTCACAGTGTGAATTGTACAAATAAGAACGGTAATTTAACTTGTAACTGCAAAGAAGGTTGGTATGGTAAAACTTGTCAAAACGATATAAATGAATGCCAAACAAATCCCTGTCAAAATGGAACATGCAAAAATATACCCGGTTCTTATAACTGTAGTTGTTATTTAGGGTACACGGGCAGACACTGCGAAAATGATTTGGACGAGTGTTTAACGGTGAAGTGTGCTAACAATGGTACGTGCGTCAACTTACCTTACCCACAGAAGTATAGATGTGATTGTGCGCCAGGATGGGATCCTAAAAGCCGTTGTCATCATCATATAGATGAATGTAAATTACATCCTTGTGTTCATGGAAATTGTGCAAATAAAAATGGAAACTACATTTGTACATGTAAAACTGGTTGGACTGGTAAGAATTGTGACGTCTGGGACAGATGTAAAGAAAATCCATGCTTAAACAATGGAACATGTTCCAATGAACCCAATAATAACTTGTGCAAATGTTCTGATGGTTGGACGGGGGACAATTGCTCTGCTGATATAGATGAGTGTAATACAATTAATCCTTGCAAGTACAATGGTCGATGCACAAACATTAATGGCGGGTATATGTGTGTATGTGGAGTCGGGTGGACGGGCCAAAACTGTACAGTAGATGTTAATGAATGTAGAAAGTATAATCCGTGTAAACACAATGGCAGTTGCAGAAATACACAGGGGGGATACTCCTGTCAGTGTGAAAAAGGTTGGACTGGGAAAAACTGTTCATTAGATATTAATGAATGCTTCAAACAAAACCCTTGTCAAAACAATGGAAGTTGCGAAAATACACACGGAGGATATTCTTGTAACTGTCGAAGTGCATGGACGGGGAAAATCTGTTCAGAAGATGTTGATGAATGCAATGAATATAATCCCTGTAAAAATAATGGTACATGCATGAATACCCCAGGAGGGTATTCCTGTCAATGTGAAAATGGATGGACTGGGAAAAACTGTTCAACAGATGTGAATGAATGCATCAAAGATAACCCATGTCAAAACAATGGCACTTGCACAAATAGTCAAGGAGGATATTCTTGTAACTGCCAAAGTGCATGGACGGGGAAAATCTGTTTAGAAGATATTAATGAATGCAGTCAAAATAACCCTTGTAAAAATAATGGCAGATGCAGGAATACACTAGGAGGATATGCTTGTCATTGTGGAAGTGCATGGATGGGACAAAACTGTTCAGTCGATGTGAATGAATGCATCTCACATATCCTGTAAAAACAATGGGCGATGCAGGAATAACAAGGAGGGTAGATCTTGTCATGTGAAAGAGGATGGACTTGGCAAAAAGTGGTTCCTCTGAATAAAATGAAATGTCATAAACACAAACTTATGCCAAAATTAATGGAATTGTAGCCATTCCCCCCCGGGAGGATACAGATTTGTCACTTGGTAGGCATTGGTTTTTTACTAGGTGAAAGACTGTACATCTGATATCGAAGTGTTACAAATAACCCCCAAACTTTGCAAAAGAATAATGGAACTTGTCATAATGTCAAAGGGAGGATATAGGTGTACATGTCCTCAAAATTGGATCGGGCAATAACTGGTGAGCAAGATGTCGATGAATGTCCCGGTCCTTCTCCCCTTGCAAAAAACATAATGAACTTGTAAAACACTATCGGTAGTTATTCATGTGAGTGTTCAAAATATTGGAAGGGAAGTCATTGTGAAACAAGATGTGAACGAATGTGATATAAGAAATACATGTAAAAAACAATGGAAAATGTAAAAACTTTAATGGAGGATATACGTGTGCTTGTACAACTGGATGGACAGGCTAAAAACTTGTAGCTATGATATAGATGAGTGTAAACTTCATAATCCTTGCCAAAATAATGGCCACGTGCACTAACATACAAGGAGGATACTCTTGTCATTGTGACATCGGATGGTCTGGAATAAACTGTTCAGTTGATGTTGATGAGTGCAGTAAACATAATCCCTGTAAAAACAATGGCAGATGCAGGAATACACAAGGAGGGTACTCTTGTCAATGTGAAAGAGGATGGACTGGGAAAAAGTGTTCCTCTGATATAAATGAATGTCATAACACAAACTTATGCCACAATAATGGAAATTGTAGCAATACCCCAGGAGGATACAGATGTCACTGTAGCATTGGGTTTACGGGGGAAAATTGCACATCTGACATCAACGAATGTACCAATAACAAACTTTGCCAGAATAATGGAACTTGTCATAATGTCAAAGGAGGATATGCATGCATATGTCCCCAAAATTGGATCGGCAATAACTGTGAGCAAGATGCCGATGAATGTCACGGTCCTTCTCCTTGCAAACATAATGGAACTTGTAAAAACACTATCGGTAGTTATTCATGTGAGTGTTCAAAATATTGGAAGGGGAGCCATTGTGAAAATGATGTGAACGAATGTGATATAAGAAATACGTGTAAAAACAATGGAAAATGTAAAAACTTTAATGGAGGATATACGTGTGCTTGTACAACTGGATGGACAGGCAAAACTTGTAGCTATGATATAGATGAGTGTAAACTTCATAATCCTTGCCAAAATAATGGCCAGTGCACTAACATACCAAGGAGGATACTCTTGTCATTGGTGACATCGGATGGTCTGGAATAAACTGTTCAGTTGATGTTGATGAGTGCAGTAAACATCAGCCCTGTAAAAATAATGGTATTTGCAAAAATGTCGAAGGGGGATACTTGTGCCAATGCAAAAGTTCGTGGACAGGACATAACTGTACTGACGACGTTAATGAATGCATCTCATATAACCCTTGTAAAAATAATGGCGTGTGCAATAATACACAAGGAGGCTTCTCTTGTCAATGCGAAAGAGGATGGACTGGGCAAAATTGTTCTTCTGATATAAATGAATGTCAGACAGAACACCCATGTAAAAATCATGCCATTTGCGGTAATACTCCGGGAGGATACACATGCCACTGCGACAGAGGATTTACGGGATTAAATTGTATATCTGATATCAATGAATGTCGTTCAAAAATCCATGCCAAATCAAGGAAATTGCACCCAATACATTTGGAGGATATACTTGTAATTGTGACAAGGGTTTTACTGGCAAAAACTGTACATTCGATATCAACGAATGTATCAATAACAAACATTGCCAGAATAATGGAACTTGCCATAACATAAATGGGGGATATAAGTGTTTATGTCCTCAAAACTGGTCCGGCAACAACTGTGAACAAGATGTCGATGAATGTCAAAGAATTTCTCCTTGCAAAAATAATGGAACTTGTATAAACACAAACGGAAGCTATTCATGTAAATGTCCCACATATTGGAAGGGAAATCATTGTGAAACAGATGTGAATGAATGTGAAACCAGTTACCCGTGTAAAAACAATGGATCATGTAAAAACTTTATTGGAGGATATACGTGTAGTTGTACAACTGGATGGACAGGAAATACTTGTGCGTCTGATATAAATGAATGCAGTGCCAATAATCCTTGTCAAAATAATGGAAGCTGCAATAACATACAAGGGGGGTATCTATGTAAGTGTGACATTGGTTGGAATGGAAAAAACTGTTCAATAGATGATGATGAATGTATAACTGATCATCCTTGCAAAAATATCGGTACCTGTCAAAACAATCAAGGTGGTTTATACTTGTTTTTGTGACGCTGGTTGGACAGGCAAAGAACTGTTCGGTAGATATAAATGAGGTGCAAAAAATATCTTACTTTGTAGTAATCATGGCACATGTACTAACACTGACGGAGGATTTATATGTAATTGTCCTTCGAACTGGGAAGGTATTCATTGTGAAATTGATGTTAATGAATGCGATTTCAAAAATCCTTGTCAAAATAACGGAAGTTGCACTAACACACAGGGAGGATATTCATGTATATGCCCTCCTTCTTGACAAGGTTCTTACTGTGCCTCACAAATGACCAACATTAAAATAACATCTCTTTTGACAAGCAAGTCATTAAGCACACAAACCTCATCACCGACTGATTCCACGTCTAAAAGTATGGTCGTCCACTTCGTCAACCGAATCGCTATTAACAAGCCGTCCATCATTTCCATCTACCACGTTTTTCGGTTACAACTAAAAATTCACCAAAAACAATCAGACACAAGTAAATCACCATCTCTGTCACCTAAAGCGCCAAAACTAACAAATAGTTTTGCATCTTCTGTAATAACCTTTTCTACAGACAATACAAAAGCCAAAAAATACAAGCCCTGAAGTAGTATCAACATCAAATTTTGAGACTACACCCCAAAAACCTACAGCACATGTGTCGTCAGTAACAAACAAACAGAATTTGTTTCTTCAAAGCAAAACTTTTTCCAGTTCTAATTCTGCACAATCATCACTCCAGAAAAGCAAAACCTTCAGTTACCACCACGTCTTTGAAAGACAACAAACATACTTCTAATGTTACCGTAGAATCAACTTTGCCAAGCACAACTTCACAAAAAAAGCAGTGGTTTATCCGCTTTTTCTGCTGCGGTGTGGTCATTAAGTAGTATTTCGTCAGTTTCAGTGACATCAAAGGCAAGAACAAGCAAGTTGACACTTCACAGCAGCACTCTTACCACCATATCTGCAGACAAATGTAAGTAAGTTTTTTTACTAATGTAATTGTTACCTCGGATTACATCTGTATAACATGAAGAAACAAAATTATTCAGACTGTTTTCTGATTTTAATTGAGTGCTTTTTTATCATTTCAGATATTTACACATTAGAATTTATGAAAACGTTAAGTGAGTCAGACCAAACAGATATAAAAAAAGGAATGGAGTTTTTGCTTCAAAACGACACCTGTTCTAACAGTACTAATATAACTATCACAATATTAGATGATTGGAAAACGTTGTAAGTTAAATGTTTCATTTTAATGATGTTTATGTGAATATGATATGCGTTTAAGTAATTATGTTGTGCTTCTCCTTTGGAGATTGGAGAATCATCTTCATAAGTGAAGGAGATACGCATATTGTTAAATCTGATTAATATATTCGTTAAGTATCAATAGAATTCAATATCCTACAATAATATTCACAACAAGTGAAAACATTCAAAAATGCTTAAACTTTTCGTGCTGCGCGAATTTCAGCATTTCTGAGATGCATTATTAGGAAAGGTGTCGAGTATGAACATATTAATTCATTGGTTAAAACAACGGCATCAGCACATTGTGTTAAATACTTTATTTTTTTAAATGTAAGGAAATGGCAATCAATTGGAGTATTTCAGATGTTTGCATTTGAAAAAACTTAAATACCATCTGTTATTATGTAAGAACACGTCATAAATTTCTGCATATGCACCAAGCTATGATTAATTTCGAAACATATCTGAGAGCCTAAAATTGATAAATGTATATGATTTTTGTTCCCCATAATATGTTTGTTTAAATTTAAAAATCAGGAAATATAAGGTACTTTAATAACAATAATGCTGTTCTATTTCATTAATTGTTGCTGAATGTGAGAAAATGTTTGTCTATATCAGTTTATAACTAAACTGTATATATTGCACGGTTAGCTAATATTTGATTGGTAAAATAAACTTAGAGTTAGGCTAAGTTTAGTCAAGTAAAAGATATTATTGTCAAAAATATACACATTTTCTATCAACCAAGTTACACACACGGATACTAGAATTTGCCAATAAAAAAAAAATAATGATACAAACACCTGGTATTTGAAATGATTGCGAATTTTGAAAATGTTCATATAAAGACATATGTGACTGCTGTTTTCCCAATTTTTTCAATGAAATCCCTGCATGCTATTCGGAGGTGAAAATATTTGTTTCCCTAAATAAAAAAGGTTTACTTATGTTTTATCAGAATTAATTCTGTGAAAGTTCATGCGCAATGTGATGGTAGAGATGTCTCAAAAAAAGAAATTGATGAAGCGTTTAAGTGCCTTAACACCACAAATGTTGAAGTCTCTTTTCCCCTTTGAATTGAAGCAAAAAGGCGGACACAAAGACGGTAATGAACCCGAGGTACGTATTGTCATTAACGTTTAAAATAAGAAGATAATTTTCATTATATATAAAAAGTTAAATGTATTGATGTTGCGCATGACAAGCCGTCTTACTGTGTTAACAGATGTGCCAAATTATTTCAAAATCCCTTTCAAATAGCTGAGTAATGGACCCACCACGAAACTGGATAGATAGACGGAGCCATTTTCCACATCCCCTTTATTTTGTTCGAAGAGGCGGGGACAAATTTATGTATATTAAAGTAGTATAATATTGGAAAGGTACATGTAAATCATCAAATAAAATTCTTCTTTTACACAGGACACAAACCAGCATTATTCTTTTGTCTAAGATTAAAAACCGACCATCTGGCGTATTTGTCAGCGTTAATGACAACACCAGACACGAGGTATTCGTAATCCTGTAATCGTAATCGATTGCAATTAATTACAATTTGTCCATGTAATCGAATGTTTTTCGATACTTTAAAGTCGATTTCCCCACGACAAAGATAAACACCGATTAAAATTTTACAAAATTTATTTTTTAATTTTTTGGCAAAACAATTCATAGCTAGTACATACAAAGATGAAAAGAAATCTAATTAATTTTAAATTTTTTTTGAAAATTTTTTCTTTTTCCTCCGTTTTAGGGCGAAAAATCGGGAATTTTCATCAAAAAAAAAAAACGGTTCCTGTAGCAACAACTTGAAAACGCGGCAGATTTAAAAAAAGCTATTTCCCCCAGTACTGTAGCAAAATTAGAGTTTTTGAACATTTTTAAAGATTTTTAAGTATTTTCTCGAGCCTTTTGCAATAAATAAATTCCACGTCGGGACTGTCTCATTGCCCTATATCCGTTATGAGATCCTGCTAGTCTTTTTCCTAAAATTAACAAAAAAAGGGACAGCGAAAAATATTGGGGGTGGGAGGGGGGGAAAAAGCTTTTTTAATTTTTAAAAAAGATTTAAACTTTAATTTTTTAAACAAGCGCAGAAAACCCTTTCCGTTTTTTCCAAATTGAAAAAAGAATAACAGGGTCTCCCTTTTTCTAAAAAAGGTACTTAAGGTACCCCCGCTTCTTTATACATTTTTTTCATTTCTATTTTTGGTTTTAAAAAATTTAATAAAAGGTTTTTAAACCTAAAAAATTCCCATCACAAAACTCAACACGTTTAAAATTTTTACAAAATTTTATTTTTTTTAAGTTTTGGCGAAAACAATGTCAAGCTGAGTACTTTTAAAAGATAAAAATTTGAAATGTCATTGAATATTTTTTATTTTTATTGTAATATTTTGCGTTTTCGTCCAAATTTAGGGCAAAAAAATTGGTTTTTCTGCTATAAAACCCAAAAGGGTCATCGCCCCTTCCGCCAAGCGGATAGGAGAATTTCCACCCTGAAAAATTTTCAAAAGAAGTCGTAAAGATATTTTGGTAAAAAAAAACAAATAGGGCTATTTACACCATGAAACAGGAAAAGAAATTTCCCAAAACTTTTTGAATAATTTTATTGCTGAAAAATTGTATTTAGCAGACAAACCTAAACAAGGTGCCCCGTCAAAAAAAACCCTGGGGTTTTCGGTTAGTTTGGATTTTTAATGTAACCCCCCCTTTTTAACATAAAAACCCCAAAACAATTTTCCCTTTTTTTCTAATTCGATTGCTATTTCCCGAGTTTTGCATAGTAACCCATTTAAACTGGAAAAATTTGGTGAATATACATTCTACAATTGGAAACTTTTTTTTGGATACTTTCAATGTCCCGTTTGGGGAATCGCAAACGTCAAAAATTTTTTTTAAGTTTCCAACTGATTCTGGGTTATTTTGAATTTTTGTCTTTTCCCCAAAGTGATCAGCATTCAGGTTTGGGATTAAACTGAAGATGGATTATTTTTCCTTTAAATGGTTACCCCACCCCACTCATCCTCCCATTAACGACCAAAATTTTCCCCACCCCAAATGTTTTTTTTCCTAGGGCTTTCCGAGGCCCGTTTTCGTCCCCGGGACGCCAAAACCACCCCCATAAAATAAAAATTTTGTTATATTTTCTAAATCCCCCCATTGAAGATAATTCCCGGGGTTTAAAAGCTAAGGGTTTAATAAAGAAAATTTTTTGTTTTTTTGGGGGTCTTAACATGTGAGAAAACGTTGTATCCATGTTATATCAGTATTAAAAAATTTGATAAAAACTAACGAATAAGGGGTTTTGTTTTCCCAATTGGATAACAATGAATTGGCAAAATTTCCCATACTTTAAATATCATATCGAAACAGATAAAATTTTAATACTAAAAAAGCAAATATTCCATCAGATTTTAAAAATTGCAAAATTTGACTGGTAACAAAGAAAAACCCGCTGACATCACTGTTTTTGAAAATTAAATTTAAAAAAATCCCCGGGCCCAAAACAAGGTCTTTTGGGAAAAATTTTTAACACAAAAAAAAAAACGAACAAATTTGAAAATCAGTAAAACGTTATCACAACAAAAAAATTTTAATTCATATTTATCATTTTTTCATTTAAATTTTTAAAATTACATATACTTTTTTGAAAATTGTAAAAATTTAAACTTTTTATACATAGGATGCTTATATTTGCAGCAAGGAAAACAAAACACGATAGGACAGTTAAACCTTTTAAAAAAATAAATCATAAATAAGAATTTGGGTAATAAAAAAAAAATTTTCAAAATAAAACCCCACACTGAATAACAATCAAAAAATAGAATTTCAAACACCGACAGCAGGATTAGGGGATATATTTTTTATAAGCCCCTAACCCCCTCTACCTCTTATTTTTTTTTTCATTGATTGAAAACCGTTTTGAACATTTTGAGGGCCCCCCAATCCTGAAGGGAAAAATATATATACCTTTTTATCTTTCCAAATTTTTCTGGGGGTTTTTTGGAAAACGAAGAAAACCCTTACACCTTTTATCAGTTTTTTGAGGATTTTATTATCAAAACCTTTTAAAAAGACCGAGATTGTTCATCCCCGACTGAGCCGCTTTTTGATCTCTTCTGGAGGTAAACTCCTTACTGACAGCGCTATAAAGTAAGAATTCTGCGCAAATAATAGAGACCAAATAGCCCACAAATTTAAAGGAATGCTTGAATGTTTTTTCAAAAGGGTACCGTTGACTGGGTTCTTTTGTTTTTTTTTCTCTTAACTCATGCAAACCCTTTGAACCCTTTTTTTTTAGATAAAATTTTTTTTATTTTAAAAGACCCTTTTTTTGTTGATATACAAAGCCCATAAGTGGGGGTATTCCCAAAGTGAGAAGAAAATTGCTTAAAGACATAAGCACATATTGACATATAAAGTTTAAAGTTTTTTTTGGCCAAAATTTTTTTAAAACCAAGATTTTTTGCAAAAAGCTTCAAACGCCGATCGGCTAATGGAAAACTTGGGGAGGCCCGTCGCAAAGAGCATTATAACCATCTACTTCCTTTAACGCAATGTCTGAAGGAAAGCCGGGGTCAAACATGGGGGTCCTTACCGGGGTCCGGCAAATCGGAATCCCTTTGCCCCTGAAAACGACAATACAGACAAATTTTTTTTACACCCTGAATTTTTTTTGCTTTTACGAATACCTTTAGGTTTTTCAGACAAAAAGTTGATACCATACATTTGTTCCCTTTAGATTTTTTATTCAGAAATCAAAAAAGGGGGCGTTATCTCCTTTAATTTATTTTTTTTCCTTTTTAGCAACCGACCAATATTAAACCAAAGATTTTAAAAATTCAAATATTAATTTTCTTTAATATGTTTTTCCCCCCAGGTTTGGGGGCCCTTTAAAAACAACCAGAGCCCTTTTAAAAAACACGGATCCCATATTTTTTTTTCCACAGCGTCCCTTTTTCCCATTTTTTTTCGGGGAAAAGCATACATTATACACATACAATTTTTTACAGAATCAACTTTTATATTTTAAAAAACACACACATAAAAAGCACAAAAAAAATTAAATTAATTAATAATATGTTTATGTAACCCTGGGGCCCCCTTTTAACTAAAAGCTTATTTCCCAAAGGGGGGCCCTTTCGTAAAATTATTTCCCTTTACATAATAATAAATGGTTATAAAAAGTTAAACTTAATGACAATTTTCAATAATAAAAAAACATTTTTTCAATATAAAAGCAAGTACTTGTTTTTTTTCCAAACAAAATGAAAAAATTTTTTTTTTAAACTAAAACATATCAAAACACAACACATTTTTAAAACTTATATAAGTTAAATGTATATAATCAAAAACGTCATTTCAAACCGTGCTTTAAATCTGGGTCAATGAATCATTTAGTGATACAGCCGGAAAAACAAATTTAATCAACGAAAAACCCCTCCCTTTGGGACAACCACAAATTTTTCCGAAGATTAGGTAAAGGGTAAGTAATGGACCCGTGATTCACCCAAATTTTGGGTATGTGAAGTTAAAAGGGGGATCTTGAACATTTTAACTAAATTAAGTTTGTTTAAAATAGGAATCCCGGACCCGTATAATTAAAATTTAAAAACCCAATTTAAAACATTTAGAAAAAAGCATCAACTGATTAGGATATTTTGCAAGTCCGTCTTTACATTATTAACGTTTAAAAGGGGTTTTTCCCAGTCCCTAAACCCCTTCCCTCCTTGGTTTCCCGGTTAAATTTTTTGGGATTAAAGGTCTGAAATGAACACCCATATGGTGCCGACTGGGCATTAGGGGGCCCCCCGAAAAAAATTTAAAAGGGGTTTTGGGAACCTTGAACGGGAACCGCCTTTTCAAAAGGAAACCGCGAACGACGGCACTTATCATGGCGTGCTGCCTTTAACCCCAACTAGGCAATTTACATTTTTCGTGCAAGTTCCAAAATTATTTTACTGAAAAAAAACCCTTTTTTGCATTTTCATTTTGCGTTACTACATTTACGGTTTCATGGATAGGACCAAAAATCCGGGGGTATGGAATCCACCCCCAAACCCTCATGTATAGATTTTTTTAAACAATTGTCTGTCATAGTTTCCCACCCTCGTGTCTTGTTTTCAGCAAACCCTTTTATTGGCTAAAACTGCAAAGGATGTATTTCATTTGGAATTTTTTAGTATATGTAAAAAAAAAAAAATGCATCCACCCAAAATTCGATCCTTTTCGGCTTATCGAGTTTTACTTTTCTCCGAAGATTTTTTACCTTGACACATGTAATTTTTTTCTGATTTAATATTATTTTGGACATCCCTCAAGAATTTATTTTTCCATATTTTTCCTTTTTTACTTTCTTTAAAAGTTTCGGGTAACATATTAGTAACAAACTTACAAGTTTTTTAAGGAAAAAAAACAGTAAAATTTTCCATTACATGCGCTGTTTGGGCTTTTTA